GTCCGTACTGCATGTTCATGGATGAGTCACGTTTCTGCCATTATGTCTGCCTGTCTAGTCCGTCCTTCCGTCCGTGTCGAGGTAGACGGTGAACGCGAAGCTATGCACGAAGCTGACGAGACCGGGACATTGCATCTTCCCACGTATTTCGATGAAGACAGGATTGGAGAACGTGATCTCTGGAGATATCAAGTCTCAACAATCTTGGAAAAGTTCAGGTGGTGACTCTGATGAGGCGTTGTTTTTTTTCTTTTTTTGCCCCTCCTTCTACCTTGGGCAATGTGATACATGCAAGCGATAGAACGGCCGGAAGTCGTTTCTCCTCAGTCTTCCGTGGAAGACTGACCGGGCAGGCAAAGACAAACGCAAACCAGACGGGCTGCCGAGACGAAACAGCGGCGGCGGGGATTGGGGGCGTGGGGCGCTCGCCGTGGGCAAACGCGCCGGCCGGGTGTGGCACACCTCCTGGCGCGGGCGGGCCTTTCGGCCGTGGTGCCTACCAGTTGCCTTAGCGGCAGAGTGGCTAGTAACATGAGGTATCCGTATTCGGTGGTTCTAATTTTGAGATATCCCATTGCACCGCAGAGGACATGAGAGTTGTAGGCTAGAACACTGGTTGAAAAGGGTTGACATACACCCATTGACAAGGCTATTCTGCAATCTGCATTCTGTAGACTATATTGGAACTACCAGGTTGGGGATGCAAAGGTGATGGGTGTGGTAGCACACCGGGTTCAGGTCCTCCCTAGGACGGAGGACAATGGTGCGCAGGGGGGGAGTTATTCAGAGGTGGGAAACTTGGGAAGGGTTCGGTGTGACGAGGTCGTGATAGAGGCGCCCTTGTTTCTCCTCGCTGCGGGCGTCTGGGCGGCTGGCCGTTTGCTTCCCGTTCCGTAGGCCCCAAGGCCCTCCCTTGCCTAGGCTGGGTACCTACATGTAGGATAATGATTGCTTCCTCCGAGGGGGAAGGGGGGCGTGCAGTCTTGGGTGGTTGGTTGGTAGTTTGGTTGGTCGTTTTGCACCCAACATGGAAAGAAATATGGCAAGGCTGGGGGAAAAGGCACGACAGGGTAGATGGCAGAGTACAATGTTAGGCGGCCGGCTGGCCGGTTGGGGGAGACGGCAGGGAGGACGGAAATGTGCGTCGTACTGGAGGGATGTATGGAGTATGTCTGAGTATCTGTAGGTGAACGTGGGATGCGGGAAGTGTGAGTTTCCAAATTCAGCTTCGCTCATGTTCGGGTCAGCGCTAAATTCGCCAATCAGCGGCTCGGGTGGTGTGCATGGCGTCGGCAGTCTCAGCGATACCACGATTTTCCCCTCTTGGGTTGGTTCGTGAATATGTACCTGCTGTGCCTTTGGCTGATCTTTAGGTTGGTTACAGCGGTGTTCTTTTCTCGGGCGCGCGCGCGCGTCTGCCGTCAAGGGGCTGAGCATGAAAAGAATGAACTGAGGTCTCAGGATGGTGACCTTTGTGACCACGATCTACCCACCCTTGATGCCGTGGATAGTAGGTCGGCAGATAGGTAGGCTACACGAGGTGCGTGAAAGTGCAAGATAGCGCAAGGTACTCCCGTGAGCAGGCTACGCTCAGTGTGACGGTGGCTTTCCCTGCCTAGCGAATGATACGATCCCGCATCCGGTTGGTGTGATTCGAGAAGAAGAGGCGCAAATCTCGGGATCTGGGGGATCAGCGGGCAAGATTGGGGGCCGAGATGGGTCGCGGGCAAAGAGGCCCGTCGGTAGCCTTACGAGGCGGAAGGTTGTGGGATACCAGACCAGAGGCCTGAACCACGGGCCAGACATTAGGTAGGTGACATGGTGAGTGAGATAAAATGGTGCAAGGCGGGAATGGCGGGTATCCGGTCTTGTCTGAGATGACAGACGGCTGACGATCGGAATGGGATTTTGAAGGATGCCGCTTCCTCCCGCTGTAGAGCCAATGGGCGAGGAGTGCTCTGCTCGAGTCGTTGGTCCATCGCCCTTGCGTGTGTTTGATGTCTCTGATGCTCCCTTGCAACGGTGTTGGCTGCTCACATGAGGCTGAAGAGTTGGAGAGAGAAAGAGAAAGAGAAAAAGAGAGAGAGAGACGGGTCAGCGCGATTGATCCCTTGCTTCTTCCTCCCTGTGATGTGAACAAGTGAAGAAGTGCGACGAGAAAAGTCATTATCAAGGTCTGCATGATTCAAGCTCGGCGGACGGTAATCTCTTGGGAGGGGTTAAAATTGCAGTGCTGTATGCGCGGTAGTTGCCTCTGCAGGATAGCCCATCGAAAGGGGACATGCACCTATTAGCATTGAATCGAAGACGACACGACGGGCAGCTGCGATTGAGGGGTTGGCTTCCACACCTCGGATGCCTACGGCTACCAACTCGGCGTTGCTTGCTTCCCACACGCCTCTATGGCAGTCCAACGATAGTTGAGGAGTCAGAGACATTGCATCTTGCTCAGCCTCTGTCAGACATCGACCAAATCCGAGGTTGAACGGAATAAGCTGACCACCGCTCTCACATTGCATCCCAGGAAGCCATTCAGCCCAGTCACGAAAGGACAGTCTCACTGATACTACCCAATAGACGATGGGATTCGCAGAGAGTAACACGGGCTTGCCATCGACAAGGTGCCCGACTGGCTCCCGACTGGCTAACAGCATCCTGCTCCAAGGAGAACCAACTCCAAGTGCATGAGGTGGTGCAAACGCAGCCATTACATATGTGTGTATGCGCAGCGCGGCACAGCCAACGACCATCGGCAGCTCGTTATTTTGGGGGATTCCAGAGACAAACACCTCCTTTAGCCTTTACACAGTACTCCATAGGTAGGTAGTATGCAGGTGTTGGACTCTGCGCCATTTCTCACAGCGAACCCTCCAACTCTTACCTGCACGTCTGCAACCTTCACACACCCCGGGAACCCAGGCAAGGATAGCCCATGAGATGAAGGGAAACCAGTGATGTGTCGGCCCGTTCCAATTTGGGAGCGTTCGTCGCGACTATTCTCTTACTTTATTTAGCGACCTGTCACTGGTCATTACTTACCACGAGTGGAAAGTCGCCTTTGCCCGGCCAGTCATCCTCCATCATCACCCATCACCAGCTGCACACTCCCCCTCCCTCTGCCCACGTTTACAGAGTACCCTGTTCTCGCGTTTCCTTTTTGAGGACCCGATGAGGGCATACTCCGGTCAAAAGTTGAGTCAAACGTCTCTGGGCGTGCTGCCTGTTTGTCATACGAAACCTCGCCATTACAGCGGCCCGTCTCCCTCAGCACAACGTCCGATCTCTGGAATGAACTGACGGTGCGCGTGACGGCGTTGATCTGGACGGCATCACGACTCTCGTCCCGCGGCTGTCGCGCCGCCTTGTGCAATGTCACGCTATAGCGTGCTATAGCGGACGACACGTGCTGAGACCTGGGCTCGTTGGCTACTCACTGCGTCTTTTTCCCCTTCCCTACCCGCCGGGACACCACGGGTGGCGTCGATGCATGCAACCAACGAGGAGGGGTTCGAGACGAAAAGACGATATTGATCGGGAGGGGAAAGGCCGGAGAGACCCAGTTAGCATGTGCGGGAGGGGGCAGCCGTTGCGGAGACTTTGTCTCATCATCATCTACGTGTACGGCCTCTCTCGCCTGCGTCTCTCGGTCTTCAGCAACACTCGGGATGCAGCGGCGGCGTCTGTCTGCCTGTCTCTGCACAATTACGGATCACTTGGAGTTAATCCATCCGGTCTAGCCACGCAGTCTTCTATGATGCGTTGCGATGCCATGCGCTGCACAACCAACGGCCGCCACGAACCCTGCTACCCACCCGCGCACTGCACCGTGGTATCACCAGCAGTTTATCGAAGAAAAGGACTGCGACCTACATAGTACTACGTCAAATCAAGCAGACAACCTCACTGGCTATCCAGGCCGGGAAAGATGCACGCCATGTCCGGCCGATCCGACAAAGAGCATCACTCCTCCTCCCCCTTCTTCCTCCTCTCGTCCCCCCGGTACATAGGGCCCGTTCAACCCGGCCAACTCCGTTCCGCAACGTGCTCCCCACGCCGAAAACGCTTGCGCAAACGCTTGCGCAACAACATGCATGTGCCTAAAACGACGCGGGCCACTTGGGAGAGAAGGCAAGCCTGGCCAATGATGGTGCTTCAGACCCATCAAGAGCCCTGGAAAGGGGGCGTGAAGAATCAAATGTACCTCATCGACAGGGGAGGGGCCCTTTGGCTCGTACCGCCGTGCCGCAGCCCACATGCCCCGGTCTGCCGTCTTCTGACTTACCCCGCGCATGCATATCCGCCCTCGTCTGCTTGGTCCATAACCGCCCGGATCGTCAGCACCCAAGCACAGTGCGTTGGAAGTTCTGCCGGCGCAGGACGGCGGGCAGGTGTCCGCTCCGGGGGGCCGAGGGATCGTGGGTTGCGGCCGTTTCCATGTGCAGAATCTTGCTGACGGCCATTAGTGGCCCGCCTATGCATCGGCCCCCTCCCTCCGATGACGGGTGCTGCATGCGCCCTTGATCGTTCCAGTCCTTCCCTTTCCTCTCCTTGCCGTTGCGTTGCGGAGGTCTCGCCCGGGGCTGGGCCACGGCCGGCCGAGGTGAGATCTACACGGCAAATGCTGGGACAGGCCGAGTACACGTAAGCTTTACACCAGCGTACTGACTCGATACGTCGAAACGGGAGGAGCAATCATGAAATGTGGCTGGAAAGAGAAACAGCTGGAATTGGAAACAGGTCTTGCCTAGCGGTACCTCTAACCTTCTAGGCCGGGCACCAGTCATCGCCGGCGGCATAACCATAACTACATCGATGCTAAAGGAAGACGCCAGCTCGGTCCTCGACTCTAAGCATCGCCCGGTCCCATCACCGGCGCCGATTTCAACTCAGCCACTGCCAGCACCACACAACGCGGACTCCAAAGTTTGAACAATTAGCAATCCGCCTTCCCCTTTGCCCCCCATTGACGAATGATCTACTCGGGCCCGCAGCTTGCCTCCTTACTTCCACACGCTCGAACTCTCCGCGCCAGCCTTCTTGCCCTCCTGGTACGTGTCACTCAAAGCGTTATACAAGCCCTTGACACGCTCCATCTCCCCTCTCCAGTACGCCCTCTCCTCCTCCCCGGGGATCTCATCTACCAGGTCCCCCAGGCTCCGCGCCGTAAAGAACCCGTTGGTGCGGTTATACAGCGCCCGCCGCCCCAGCGCGCCCTCGTCCTCCCCTTCGGCCCGCACGCGGAAGACCTCTTGGAGGATATTGATGTCGTGCGGTATCGCGAACAGGTCGCGGCTGTCCTCGTAGGTGAAGAGGTAGTACACCTCGCGGAAGCCGGACCAGGCGATGCCGGAGAGGCAGAGGGAGCAGGGCTCGTGGGTGGCGAAGAAGACGCAGTCGCGGCGCGGGTCCGGGCGCGTTGACGGGTCCGGGTAGTCCTTTGTGAAGAAGTGTTGGATGCAGTTGATTTCGCCGTGGAGGAGGGGCGAGGTGCGCTCGTCGTTTGTGGAGACGGTGTAGGGTGACAGGGTAGAGGAGGAGAGGATCGCGGCGCCGAAGAGTTTGGAGCCCGAGGTCACGCCGCGCGCTGTTAGGGGTACGATGCGGGTTTCTGTGAGGGAGAGGATGGAGGATAGGACGGTTTTGGGGTCGCGGGTTGGGAGGGGGGCTTCTTCGGCCATGGTGCTTTTGTGGTTAGTTTGAGACTTTTTTTTCTATTTCTTTTCGTTTTATTGAGTGGTAATGTAGTGAGGCTAGATTCGATAGCGCTAAGGATGTTTGTCAGAAACGTGGGGCAAAGTTCAGTTGTCTGCGAGTTTATTTCTTTTTCCCCTTTCGCGTTGATATGAGACTGGGTAGTTTGGTGATTTTATCGAACACGCGACGCTTATCACAGCTTGCCAGATGATTCGTGTGTATGTAATATGTACGGGTGTGGGCGCCGACCTCCTACCATCGGAGGCATCCGTAGTGCGGGATGGAGTTTTGCTGTTTCCGGTCGCGGCGGGCTGGGGCGGCGACCTCCGATCCTATGGGTGTTGCGGGGGCTGGGAGGGGGGAGATGTTCGAGACGCCAGTCCGTCACTGCGTCACTCTTTGATGAAGAGATCGGAGCCTGGTTCCATTGGCATAATGTAATTCCGTGATTATTTAGAAGTATCGGCAATGGCTGAGAAGGTGTTTGGGTTTTGGTCAGGTAAAGTGTAGCCGAGGCCGGAAGTTGGGTCCACTTGTCGCCGGTCTCCGATCGGATGTCACGGGGGGCCACGGTAGACCTCGCTCAAGCAGACTAGTATAAATACAAAAATTTAGATTCAAAAATCAGAAACTTCTACCCAGAGACAGTACATGCAGCAGATATCCCTCGATCGGAGGCAGCGCAGGAGGCGCGGTGGGCACGGCAGGAAACGGATGCCTCGATACTGTGTTGTAACGTAGAGGGAGAATGCCTCCATACTAGGTAATGTCGCGGTTCGATACGCCAACCGTATTCGCACTTCGGCTTCTCAAGAGTGATTTACAAGGAATTCTCAACGAAGGAGTATGGTGGACTAAAGACGTCAGGCTACTTCATCTTGAAGGCGAGATCCTCGAGGTTTCAGCGGCAGCGCCTTGGAAGACACGAGAGCCCAGCCAACGACTATTCACAGAACTTGAGAATATCTCCACAAAGGCATTGATGATTCCTAGTAGTCCGAGACACTCATGATGCTCAGATATCAGTGTTAACCTGGGCCCCCGGCCTCGCCCCGCGACGACGCCTGCGCCCAGCCCCCATCGCTCCCGGCAGAGGGCCACAAGTTCCATCAAGCCCACGGTGGCCCTTGATACAGATCTTTCTGGGAGGTCAAGTGCAGATTTGGGCTACCGCGTCAAAGACGAGCGTTTTTCAACGTCACTTGGGCACAATACTACTTTGGTACGTGATGATGAACCGCCATCTCCTATGGGAAACGTCCCATTTCTCAATATCTCGCCGTGAAAACTCTATGTTCTAGGTTCTCCATGAGCCTTTCTTTCCTACAATTTGTCGAAAAATGGGCAACGCATCAACCATCCTGGTAGTTTTCTACAAAGGCTCAAGCATTTCGACAGTAAACCTCCTAACCTCCCACGTTCCCGTTCTGAGATTTCTTCTCACAATATACAAAGCGAATACTCGATGTATCGTTGCATCTGGATGTAAGGGATACTGTGTAAATAGCTAGCAGTTGCTGTTACATTTACATCTGTTGTACACGATGGATGCATCATTTACGAAGCAGCGCGTACTGCCTACGACACGTTAGTCTTGCTTGAGTGGTTGCATGTTTCGGTGCTCCAAGTCGTCCATAACCACAAATGCTTTCATGTGAGTTGGATTACACATTCAGCTGGTGTGTATACTCAATCAAAGATGGGGAAGTCATTGACGAGCAATCCTCTCGAACTTGAAAGTGCGGAAGGAGGTGCCCTGAGCTGGGCCACTGGCCCCTCTATTTTCCCATTTGGAGACATCTAACTAGTCATTGAACGATGACTAAGCGTCTTCTCAGTTTTCATCCCTCATCCGCCTGCTCACGACGTCGTCTCATTGACACTCGACGTCACCCTCGAAAGCGACCGAGTTTAGCAGAAAACGAATCCAGTCCTTGCTTCGAATACCCAATGCATTACATACGACTCCTCCGAGCCCCGACGCTCACGCGCGAGGAGAACAGGAAACATCCATGGTCACTCAACGTCGTCTTCACCGTCACAACCGACCTCGGCGACTCATTCCTCACACCGGATGATAATGAACCGATCAAAATCAAGGTCTCCGCCGGCTGGGACCAGCAGCAGCCATCAAAGAAGCAGAAAAGCGAAACCATGATTCTGGCCGCCGAAAAGGTCTTGCGCTGGACCCCCGGCATGCGCGTCCTCAAGGCCGACATCCCGGCTCAACACCTCTCGGGGAGAGGGCCCCTCCCGAGCAGCAACGGCCTCGGACCGCTGAGGATACGCATCCGCGCCGAAGGAGATAAATCAGCCGACACCGCGACGAGCGTCAATTTTGCCGGGTTCGAGGGGGACTGCGGCAAGATCTTGCCCCTGTGGGCGGACGTACAGACGCCCGGTAGCGAGGCACCGACGACGTGTGTCCGGAGACTTCAACACGGTGATCGCCCCTCAGAGGCTGTCTTTGAGATTGAGGAGGATATCGGGGAGAGCATTGCGCGGCATATCTGGGATGCCGGGTTGATGGCCGTTTGCGGGCTCTGGCAGGTCAACACGCGCGAGAGCTTCGCTGCCGAGAAGCACCCGTGGCGCATGAAGAAGTTTCACAACCTGCTGTTCGGGAATGGACCGGTCAACATCCTCGAGCTCGGATGCGGTGTTGGGATTTTGGGTAACGGGCTGGCGCAGCTTTTGTCTCCTGTTGATCCTCAGGGAGAGGGGTCCGTCCTCATGACGGATCTCCCTGAAGCCGAGTACCGGGCTCGCGCGAATATCAAGAGGCTCGCGACGAGCGTTGCAGCGACTGTCCATTCGCAATACGAGAACCTCGACTGGGACGATGGCCGGAAGGGATCCTTTGGCCCCTTGGTCGAGTCCAAGATGTGGGACGTTATCGTCATGAGCGATTGCACGTACAACGTGGATTCCCTCCCCTCTCTCGTAAACACCTGGACGGCGGTTCACGTACATAATCTTTCGAAGAGCACGAATAAAAACTCTGTACAGACCTGGGTTTACATTGCTTGGAAGAAGAGGCACCCGGATGAGAACGAGTTTTGGAATCAGGTCGACAGCCAGGGGTGGAACTTGCAGGAAGAAGACGTTGTCGAGTTGCCGGTGCTCGGTGGCGAGACGGAGAGGATCTTCACGTATCTCTTCAGCATACAGTCTACAAAGTTCGAGCTGGATGAGGAGAAGGGAGTCTGGAAGTGCTCATAGTCGCCCGCATCACCCACCTTGAATGGAGGATCGACTCTGACAGGACAAGAAGGTCCCGGTCTGGAAAGGTTCAAGCAGCGTCAAGCAGTGAAGCCGGGATAGACACGGCGCACGAAAAACATTTATCGCGCTTGGGGTGGCAGACCGCACGCTCGAGAAAGACACAAGACGGGCCACTGTCTAAGGCTGCAGGCTTTACAATCTATCGCACTCGTCCGGTCGCTCCTTTGCCAGCGAATTTCAAGCCCCAGGCCGCACAAAACCACGCGATCTCGGCGTGAATGGCTCTTCCACGTCCTGGCATCCATCGTACGGTGATGTGCTGTTCCAAAGGCTCCTCCGAGCCGACCCGCTTCTGCCCGCCAAGCGTCATCAGGAAAAGGAAATGAAAGGCCTCTTTCTACCGGCACGAGTCTAGATGGGTTGATTTGCTACGGAAACACTGGAGGATTTCTGCACACATTCTCTGGATGCACTCCAAGGCTCGAAGATATTACAAGTGGAGGGAAAAGACCAGAAGACGGGAGACCCCAATGCGATTGGGATCCAATACGCGATAGCGCCCATACTCTAACTGCCATCTCGCTGGCAGGAGGCCGAGCTACGAGGAGAAGTTCGATCACCATATAACACCGCATCTTTGCAGCGGCAACGGGTTGGATATCTAGAGACCACAGGCACACTGCATCATCGCCAGCTTATGGCCATTTCATTCTCACGCCTAAAACCAACCCCGCACCGAGCCACACTTCTCCGTTGCATATTTGGTCAACTCCCACAATTTGCTACTTGACGAGCCCGGAGTCGATCGAATATACCATCCAGCGTTTGCAGACCAAACGCAAAAGAATGTAATAGCCTAGGGGAGCAAAAGAATGGACGATCTGGGAATCGAACCCAGGACCTACCGCATGCTAAGCGGTCATTATACCACTAAACCAATCGCCCATGGTATGATCTAGCCCGGACTTGAACCGGAGACCTTCAGTGTGCTCAGGCATCTGATGGGGAACATCGGAAGCTGTTAGACTGACGTGATAACCAACTACACCACCAGACCAATTATTGTTGAGAGGCAAGGCAGTCTGATTGAATATCACGGACGGGGAACAGTTGAATTCTTGTGAACGGGGCGCGAGAAGCGAGGGTTTGGCTGCAAAGTCTGCACTGGTTGCGGACGAGGGTTCGGCATAGCCCAATCAGAGATTCGCGCTAGAGGTGATTGGAAATTGAGTCTCCGCGCTGTCGGACGCCGTGGCGGCCCTAGTGGGGCCCCGGCAAAGGTCGCCGCATACGTTCGTCCGCCAGTCTCCCGCATGTGTTCCGTAAGACACCACCGAGTCCGCACCGGTCATCGATACCATCGCTTCTCCGATAGCAAGCTTGTTACTTTGCTTCCGAAAAGGAACAGAGAGAAGCTCGGAATACGAGGGATCTACGAACCGGTTTCAATCTCGTCAAGCAGCGAAATGAACGGGTGTACGAAGCTCTGCTGTCTGTACCGCAGAAACGACCTAGTTTCCGTACGGTCTTGTACTCGTTCAGAACACTACGAAGGTCCATGATCCTTTCAAGGTCACGTTGGAGCAATCAGCCAACCATCATGCAGACACGGAAGCAGGCGTTTTGTCTAGTGCTTACCAATCCTGCCAGCTGAGGCAGGTATCGGTCGGTCAATTCCGCCGACATCTATAACGTTATAGAGGTATCGTTCGACACCCTATTGCTGACCTCCCTTACTTGCCTCTGATTAATCGTGCATTTATCAAGGTGAGGACCTCTGATAGTATAAGCACAAGTCTTACTTTCCATAAGATCCTGGTACCAGGTGCCCATATCTCCTCACACTTCGGTAACACCAACATCACAATCATCGGGTACTCTTTAAGCGAGCGTTTTTCGGTAGAAGATGGCGACAACTATAGTTCTCATAACCGGGGCGAACAGAGGCCTGGGAAAAGGTCTCCTACAACGCTACCTCGCTCTCCCGGATCACATTGTGATTGCAGGTAACCGCGATCCAACACACCCGACCTCGAAGGCCCTCAACGACCTGCCCAGAGCCGAAGGAAGCCGGCTGATCGTGGTGAAAGTCGACGCGTCCGTCGAGAAGGATGCACCCGATGCCGTGAAGGAGCTGCAGGAGAAGTACGGGATCACCCACCTCGACATCGTCATCGCCAACGCCGGGATCTCGTACGTCTGGCCGGCAGTGGCCGAAGTCAAGATTACCGACCTCAAGGCTCACATGGAGCCGAACGTGTACGGCGTCGTCGCGCTCTATCAAGCTACGCGCCCCTTGCTGCAGAAGTCATCCAAAGAACCCATGTTTGTGCCCATGGGTTCGACCGCAGGGTGCATAGAGTGAGTAACTTGGTTCAAACTCCAAGTTGAGGAGATTAGCAGTTGAGTTAACAATTTGCAAGGAACCAACCTCCCATCCCAAACGCCGTCTACGGCCCATCCAAGGCCGCGGTGAACTGGCTCACGATCAGGATGAACGCCGAGGAGGACTGGCTCAATGCCTGGGTCCTCATTCCCGGCTGGGTCCAGACCGACCTCGGCAACGCTGGTGCCCGGGGCCTGGGGCTGGAGAAGGCTCACATCGGCGTCGATGAGTCGTGCGATGGCATGATGGAGGTCCTTGCCGCGGCGACCAAGGAGAAGTACGGCGGCAAGATGGTGGCATATAATGGCAACTTTCCGGGATGGTAGTTGGCTTCCCAGAGGTCTTCGTCGATGCCGGACTAAAGGATTTCACGTGCCTTGCAATTTGCGAAACATCACATTCTGGTCGTTATCTGCCTGCTGTAAATTGTACATGGCTAGAATCAGCGACAGAAATTGCACAGGGAGAAAGTCATACCACGATCCTCCCTTTGCTCGGCGCAAACGTCATTGATGGCCTTACTACCACGTGCCTACTTCATTTCGGCAACATCCTCACTTCCGTTACCTCTCGGTTTCCAATACATTCCTCGGTACGTCACAGCCAGGTAACACCCAAACGAATTCCTCACTCGGCCTGCAGTCTTAGTACATGACTCACCAACACTTGATGACTCTGCCGCCCAGGCCCGAGACAAGACACCACGCCCATCGTCGCTCAGTAACTTTTGAGCAAAATGGTCCATCTCATCACCAAAGGGAATGGTTCCTTTATGCATTGACCTCGTTCCTTCATTCAAAGATCTTCGCTAGCCTCAGTGGCTACTGAGTTCCGTTGCAGTCGCGACATGGCTCTTATATCTTTCGGCTTGGGTTCTCATCCACAGTCTTTTGGGACCTCTTTGTCGCTAATTGAAATTCATTTCCAGGTGTTCTAGACCACCGGGCCGAACAATCATGTCTCTCTTTTCATGACCAGGTCGAAAGTTTTATGGGTACAAGTACGGTGCCCGGTCGGCTACGGGTCTGGCTTACCAGAGTACTTTACGATGCAGACGGAATGATGAGTATGGATCTACTACGTCGATAGCGCCTGGTGGTGACATTCGTCATCTCGAAACTGACCGGGAATCCAAGCGGAGCCACCCTACTGCGTTATTTCCCCATCTCCCGGTAAACCAAATCGTTCTGACCTCGCACACTTCTCTTCACCTACTTTACGCTGCAAATTCTTCGTTTTCCTTTTCCCCCTATCATTAATATCAGTCATGCTTCACTAAGGCCGGCTCTCTTCCTGATTCGAGACTCCAGGATCCTGTGATTCACACTCTGGCGACGGAAGGGCAAACAGCAAGCCATGGGCTGGATTGAGCAGGCGGCCGTCTTGACGGCCTTGGCTTTTGCTGCCTTCGCACAGCAACCTTCCAACTCGCCGGCCCCGGTCAGCGTGGCCTTTGTTCTTACCGTGATTCCCAGGCTTGGAAACAGTACCAGCTCTGCAACCTCCTCGACCACCGGTATCTCGTCGTCTCCAAGCCCATCCACCAGTCTCAGTCTCAGATCTAGCATCAGCAGCCAGTCGCTGTCCAACATCACAAGCTTACGCAGCTCCAGCGCTTCTTCAACCTCTTCATCCGGCGCACCTTCGTCAGTGGTCTCATCTACGTCCTTATCCACCAGTAGTCAATCCACGTCCAGTTCTTCCAGCAGCAGTACTATTAGCAGTTCCTCGTCAATCTCAACCTTTGGTACAGAGTCCCTGAACCCCACTTTGCCGAGTTCCGCCACGAGCACTACCCGCGCTTCAACGGCATCTAGCAGTAGTTCCATTTCGATCCCTGCCACTTCGAGTAGCAGCACGTTCAACTTCGGTAACACTACTACTACTAGCACGGCTTCCACCTCTACCGGCACGACGAGCATTTTCTCAGCTTCGCCCTCGACCACCTCGGCAAGCGCATCATCGACCAGCAGTATCAGCAGCACTTCCAGTGGCGGCATCACTGTGACTTCAACCACGACCGGGACCAGTAGCAGCAGTAGCAGCAGCAGTAGCAGCAGCAGTAGCAGCAGCAGTAGCAGCAGCAGTAGCAGCAGCAGTAGCAGCAGCAGTAGCAGCAGCAGTAGCAGCAGCAGCAGCAGCAGCAGCAGCAGCAGTAGCAGCAGCAGTAGCAGCAGCAGCAGCAGCTCTGGACCTAGCTCCTCTAGTACCAGCTCCAGCAGCACATCATCAACTTCATCCTCAACTTCTTTGACATCGGGTAGTACCACCACGACTTCTGCCCCAACCACCACGACCACATCGTCAAGTACATCCTCAACTTCAAGCAGTTCTTCGACTTCAAGTGTCTCTTCAACATCGAGCAGTTCTTCACCTTTAAGCAGCTCTACCATCACCACTACTTCTTTCAGCAGCTCTAGCGTAAGATCTGCCCCTTTCTTGCCTTATGCAGCGTGAAATGTGCTTACTCGACTCCAGTCTACCTCCACGAGCAGTTCCTCTACCTCCACCATTACTGGTGCTTGTGGTACAACGAGTAACTCTTTCGTCTTACAAGCATCAAACAGCGGCGATTTCACTGCCGACGGCAATTTTGCTCAGTTGCAGCAAGCCTTTGGCTCGGGCTACCGCCTCTTGTTCAGCGCCAACAGACAGAACGCGCAACAATTCAAGCTTCGGGCCGACTGCTCACTCATCACTGCCGATGGTGGCTTGCAAGCTATGATTGGTGATAATGGTCAAGCGACTCTCCATTACCAATACTTCTTTCCATCCACTGCCGCTGCCTCAGCGTTGGTCAACGTCAATTGGCAAGCCAATGTTTGTACATTGAATGCCGATAACACCCTCACCTGCGTTGCCGGGAATTCTAACATCTTCCAAATCACGCAAGGTGATCCTACTCTCGAGATTGGTACACAGAACTTTGGGGAGACAATCACATTGAATGTGGTCCCAGTGCCGTGATTCGTGAGCCATGGGTGGTGCAATTGTTACGTTGTCTCATTCTCTACGCTGGAAGCTGATGGATATCATATATAAATTTTAGACCGAAATGCGAATCCTGCATTCCATCATACGGTGCTCTCATCCCCCGTGTATCCCGTTTTGGTCTTCCCCAAGTCCCATATGCCGTCACATATCCAGTGCCCTCCCTCTCTCGTCCACAGAAAGTCCGGAATCCTGTCGAATCTAGCGTCGTAGCGGTCCGATACTCCCATCCAGAACCAAAAGTCATCCCACTTCACCAACATGGACCGCTGAGTCTCCGGCTCAGAGTTATAAGCCAGCGGCGCGTCTTTGATCCCTTGCTCGTCGAAGCAGTCTGCCACCTTGAACCAGAGGCTCTCGTCTTTGAGCTGATGGACGGCAATAGCTTCATCGCCGACCAGCGCGTGTTGGATGGCGTCCGGATGCGTCTTCTTCCTGGCCCACGCCGTGCCACTATGTCGTGCGTCCTTGTCATCGTAGTCGAATTTCTCTGAGCCCCGGAAATTTACAAAGTTGGCTTTTTCGTGCCCTTTGAGCATGAGGGTCGCAATTGCCATGTCTTCGCCCGTCACCACGTGGTGCTTGTTCTGGAGATGCGCGAGTAGTTTCACCATGTCCCATGTAACGGTGTACATGGCGCCGTGCGGGAAGACGAGATCCCAGTACTTGGAGTAGTAGAGCTCCCCAATCACCGTCTTCTGGACAGTGCTCTTCATGAGCCCGGTGGCGTTGTCGGTCGAAAGCCTTGGTGACAGAAAACGTTCCCAAAACCCGCGTGCATTGAGCCAAAGGTCGGTGTCCATCTTTGAGACAAACTCGTATTGAACGTCGTGGTCGACCAGCCACTTGTAGAACTCGAGCGTCTTGATGGTGTTGGCGGTGATATCGTCCTCGGCGATGTTGTCCAGCACAATCATGTCTCCAAAGGTGCGATTCTCGTTGGCCACCACCCCCATCCACTGCGGACCGGGGTTCGACACCACGAAGCGTCCATCAAAGGGGATATCGTTAAAGATCCTCATCCATGTGGATCGTATGAGCATCCGTCGCTCGACATCTGATGCTGTTGAGATGACTGCCGCCAGCCAGGGTTTCGGTAACACTCTGCTATCGGTGCCGTTTGTGTTTATTAGTTGAGGAGAATAAGGGAAAGGATTGAGATCGTATGAGGGCTCTGGCAGTCCATCTACCGGATTGCCATGAACGATAGGCTTCGTGGTCGGGGCCTCGAATGGCTCGTGATGAGGTCGTTGGGTATTATGAGAAAGGTGAAAAGTAACGCCGAGAAACAGGATGAAACAGATTGCAAAAACGCGAAAAACCCTCCTCTGAATACATCGACTCAATGCCGTCCATATCGCCATGACCATGGACGAGCAGGAGGCCACCGACGTCATGTTGTCTCTCACTCTCGCTCTCTCTCAGTTGCGCGAACACAGACGGCCTGCAAAGCAATAACAAGTAAGGAGAAAATCTGGGATGAATAGAACTGTCAAAAGAGAGAGGGGAGAGAGTTCAGAAATTGAGACGAGCTGGGGTTGACGGGAAGCAACCCCAAACCCCCCTGATACACGACATTGCACACATATATCGGGCGAAAGCATTCGGGACAGGTTACGGTTGCCTGCTGGCCACCGCCATGTTGGTGGGCGTAACACCCTGAAATAATCGAGCCCACTGGATCAGGCAGTTGAGGTTTTGGTTGGTTTGTGGATCCTTCATCAGATGGGGGGAGGGGTGTGTTGCGCAGGCCAACATGTGCTGCGGGCTTCTGTTTGGCGGGGCCGCCGCGGGCACCCGGTCTGTGACATGGTCAGCATTTCCGCCGAGACGTTGTTTCTTTCCATTTTCTGTACTCTATGAATTGGTTGCAATGCCATCCTCCAGGTTATCCAATGGTGCTGGGCTGCTGGGCTGGAAGCAACATTGGCCGGTATGCAGACTCCTGTTCCTTCGCTCGGTAATATGAAGCCACGCGGCACGTTGCCTCTCAGTCGTCGGGCTTTCCTTCGTGCCACGCACTGCCCTTTTGCGCAGCGGAGGCGTTTCTTGGCGAAGCGTCCAAAAGCCTCATCACTATGTACCGAAGTCCATCATTTTGGGTCCCGGGGAGAGGAGTTGCGAAACGCTCTCATCAGCTGCCAGAATCTCAACCAGCCAAACGTACCGACGGGGCCTAAAGGCAGACTTTTCACTATCAGTTTAGAAAGATTCTTCACTCTGTAATTTTCTTTCCGTTTAACAGCGCATGGTAGGCTTCCATCTATCTCATTGATAGGCAGCCGTAGTCGGGGCACTCAACTGGCTAGTTATTCTTCCCAAGCGTCTAATAGTAAACTGTAAACGTGCGTAGGGCGGAACTTGGAGAAAAACCCATTTGCGGATGATGATGCTCGAGTTGATGGCATGGACGCACCCTACTTTCCAGTGCTGACGATGTGCGCCAGAGGCAGGCCCCAAAGTGCCAAACTGGCAAATCTACGGGGTGACATGGAATATCGTGTTTGACTGGGATTCATAACGGACAAAAGCAATACCATCGTGACACATGGCCAGCCTACCTTGGCTTCGCCCGGCTGCGCTGTGTTCAGTAGGCAGGCGTTTGGCGGAAGACGATCAAAGTAGTAAAAGTAGCCGCAAAAGATGAACCCACAGGTGTTTTGTCATATCGATGTTCGAAGCGAGAATATATCAAATCACAGATCTCCGTTTGTAGAGTTCTAGGCTCTGCCAGCCCCTATTCAAATGCCTTATCTGTCAAACTCGCTTACGGTGCCAAGCTCAGCCAAGATACAATAACCAACATAAACTCCAGTCTCCTCCGCTCACTGCAGAGCAAAAAGAAACAACCGGCTGCAGCCGACATACGGTATCCAATCAAATTTGCCCATACGATGAAATAATCCACATCATCCACAACATGTCGCGTGATGCCCGCAAACATGATGCTGAGCCGCTGCCCGAGGTTACACCGCAAATGCGGAGCCAGTCAAGGTTATTGGTGATTGGCTTATTGAGATTAGGTATTCGTTTGCGCCAGCGACCAAAGTAAGCAATACCTACCTTGAAATGACTAGGATCTGCGAATTTGGTCGGCACTGCGGGTCTTCTTCCCTTCTTTGCCCCTTCTTTGCGGCAGGCAAAGACTACCTACGTGAAGGCAATCAATATGTTGAAGGTACCCTATCCTTCGGTCAGTTCACAAGTTGACCAGGCTGAAACAGCGGGGAAGCAGATAACAATTGCATAGTGGCACTTCAAAGCTCGGAGCATGAGCGGCTCACACCAAATGTTCTTACTTCAGCTCGCTGGCGTCGTACTACTAGGGCTGAGAATTCAGGCAGCAGGATTCCCTTCGCCCTAGGAGGACAAGCCTCGGTGAGACAGGGGTATAAATAGACATCCAATGACAGGAAAACTGGAACTCATTTGCACCAAAGTCTCGTGATTTTCCGTGACTCCAAATCCTTTTGGACTTACGAAGGAAACGAATGTTTATGGTCGATCTTAGTCTGAGTATTCAAACTGATGCCTGCCAACAATCGAAATTGACTTCATTCTGATACACTCAATGTTACTGGTCACTTATTTGGAGTCCATCATACAATTTATACATATAGCGATATGTGTTCTCGAAGCACTTCAAGTATATAAGTAATAATAAGTACAGATTTGAAACTTCAGCAGCTTCTCATTTCTCTTCCTCTCTATTCTCATTCCCATTCTTTTCTTCCACCTATTCCAATCCTAAAGCAACCATATTTGGTGCGCTACATGAATCCCAAAGGACTTTCGGCTCATTTGTATCGTTCTATCGTTCTGATGGCTTACAACTTGCCACTGGATTGTGTACCTACACGAAGCCGGAGTCAGGACCTCCTGCAGACGGGCTTTCTTCACCCGGCACCATTCAAATACCTTCTAGGCTGGTAGAGATATAATCTAGTATTCTTAAAGGGCATATCTCTTTGGATGGCCGTGTGCCCCAGGGGATTGGCATCGGCAACATGGATGAACTAGGCGGCCTGTTCCCATATGCATCCCATCTTCAAACATGGCATTGTCAGCATTGAGCATAAAAATAGTGCTCAATGGGCAATAATAGCGTCTAAACGGAGACAGAAAAGGTGAGCGAACCAAGTTCATTTCAAACAGATGAAATTCGACTTCATATGGAAGGAAAGCCGCTCCTGCGCTGGCTGATTCGAAGTCAAGCCATGTGCACTTCATTCACCAGACGGCTTCATACCAATCCACATAACTACTATTGATTTTAAGAAATTACATGACGTCTCACAGGCACATGAATCTAGAGATATCTCGTCAATTAAAACTTCACATATCATGACACGTCGTGAAGATTATTGAGAATGCTCTGCAAACGAGTGAGGGCGGCTGAAATAAAGTTGCCGTGATCAGACCCATCTAGTTTACTAGTGCGCGACCGACTGGGCGCCGTTGCAGTGGCCGCCGCGAAGTGCAGGGGTTCCGGGAGGGGGAAAGCACGCCAGAGCTGAGCGGCATGACATCACCAAGACGCACCCGCACCGCCCGCTTTTCCCTCCCTGCCGAACCGAAGCCGGCGGCGGGCACAATTCTTCAACGCTGCTTTGCATCAAACGTCCAAGAAGAAACGCCAAAGGTTTTTTCTCAGCGAATTCGCTTGGCTTTCTACTCAATCTCCACCGTTTCAGTCCGTCTTCATCCGCTGTATCGAATCGTTTCCGGACGCGCAACGGCCACGAAACCCGGCGACCCCTACCCCGCGATGGCGGGCTCCCTTGCAAGCAAGTTCCTGGCTGCGCTGGCTGTCTGCGGCACCGTCGCCGTCGCTGCTCCGACGAGCCAAGATCAATTCGTCTTCAGAACTGCTGCGGATCTGACTCGCGTTCACGAAGAGTACGTGTGTTCCCGATAACATGCTTTTTCTGCTCATGAGAGCTCGCTGACTGCGGTATACAGGCTCGACAAAGCCAAGGTCATCCCTACCGTTTTGGACGACTTTGAGCCCATCATTGGCGTCGCGGCTGAGTGGTCCTCCTCCAATGTGGCCGATCTCGGGAACACCCTGAAGCCTGCCGATCTTCAGTCGGCGCCCACCGTCGCCATAGTCAGTGGCTCGTCAATGACCAGCTTCATTGCCACGACGTACGTCTTGACTCTCACCGACCCAGACGCGCCCACTCGTAGCAACCCAATCTGGTCCGAGTTTTGCCACTGGATTGCCGTCAGTAGCTCTCCCACCATCTCCTCTGGCATCGAGCCGGCGGATCTGGACGAGGTCATCGAGTACAAACCCCCGGGACCTCCCCCGAAGACGGGCAAGCACCGCTACGTTTTCACGGCCTGGGTGCCTGCCAACGGGACTAAGGAGAAGTTGGACCTTTCGAAGCCGGAGGAGCGCAAGCATTGGGGAGGCCAAGAGGGACGTGGAGTCCAGAAGTGGGCCAAGGAGAATGGCCTCGTTGCCGTTGGTGAGTTGACACCCGAGCAACTTGCTGATTGTTGAAGGTGTAAGCTAATCGCGAATCAGGTGCCAACTTCATTTATGCCCAGAACGAAAAACAGTGATGTTTATAAGTTGTTCTATGATTTGATGGTTCACTAGGTAACGCCTTGCAACATATTGGGTCGACCTGACATGGCTCGTTTGCGGTCGCTTACTATCCTCTCTAAAGCCGGCCCATGTGTAAAGTATTCCTGTTACAGGTACCTTCCGTTTGAGAGTATAAACTCTTTAAACCACACACAATGAATCCTCCTTAAGAAACTAAACAGCCCTAAGAGAAGATCCAAGCAGCGCACACCCAGTTTCAATAGCCAATAAGAAACACAAGGCAAATCACGCATATACACACACACACACTTTCTCTCTCTCTCTCTCTTTTGCTACACGGAACCTCGGTGTGACTGCTGAAGCCCCTTCAGATTCCTTTCGCATCCCATATCTACCAGTCGATGCAGCAAGCGAGATCGCCACCCATAGCGGCCGAGTGTGACGGTTACCTGCGCTATTGTCAGTTGTGAGCGGAGGAGCAATGTGAAAGATGCTCATTCTTACCTTTCTCGTATCATTCCGAACTCTCGTGGCTGAATTATGCTGTCTTTTGGCATCTCCATCCATCCTTGTGGCGATCAACCTCTTTATACAAGGTACATGATCCTTCTCGGCGGAGACCCTCAAGCTTTGCGTCGACCATCACGGCTACGTTGGAATGATACTGGGCCTGGTTCCTGTCGACATGTCGAGAAAGAACGCACAGTGTGAGCAGGCCAAATCGGCAATCACCGGACTTCTTGATGCGTTTCTAAGACCCGACATTTCTGAACCGCAAGATACAGGAGAGCAGCTGCAGCACGGCCTTGGGTGGGCCTTGGTCTGGGTATACACGCCTTGGCAACGGGCTCAGCAATGTTGCTATTCTGGACCTCGGTGTCGGTAACAATGTTGTCCTTGGTTACCTTGTCTCCGTAACCGGCCTAAGTCTGCTTGACAAAGACCCGACTGCCAATGGTTGATTCGCGTAATGGCTTCGATGATGTATCAAATCCTTTGGCGAACAGCATCCTGGTACATCATGTGTGATACGCTTTGGTTGTTTGGTTTGAGTGGTTGGCAAGTGTGTCTTGGGCTCTCCTGAGGGGATGGAAGCAGTTGCAGGGATACGGTGTCGACTGCCACCCAGCTTTCGTGACATCTCTCACGGCTGCCTTGCCTTTCCTAGACATCCTTTCCCTTGCCGTACCACCTCGGTCAAGGCCTTCCCCGCGATCAGCTGTCCGTGGTCTCAGCAGCTGGAGGACTCTCAACACGGCGCCTCTTCAGATCGGGCACCGAGTCATCCTCGGCGGGAGGGGGTGACATGCTCGAGGCCCAGGGCTTCGATTCGGACGCCGAGCTCCTGCTCCCAGGACCGTCGTCTTCGTCTTCTTCATCGTCGTCCTCGTCGTCGTTCTCCTCCTCCTCCTCGCCGTTTACCACAGGCTGCTGTGCCTGTTGCCCGAGCACCACCGTACCATTGGGGGTTTCGTTGACAGCCCCTTCTTCTTCGGGAGTTGACTCTTGCTCTGGCTGCTGATCTGCCTGGTGAGCAGCAGCAGCAGCAGCCGCCAGAGCTTGCTCCTCTTGCTGCTGGGCTAGACGCGCCCGCTTTTCCATCTCCCGCACCCTAACAGATGAGCCGGTGAAGGAACACTTCTCCGACATACGCATGCAGACGCTACATGGGCTGTTTGCGCCCTTGATGATGCATTCGTGATGGCCCTTGGCGCACCTTTCGCATTGTGCTTCCTGCGGGCTTCCGATTCGCTCAACTTCTTGAGCACGCATGTGCTCCTTCACCGTCTTCGCTGCCAGCGTCCTACCCCCATGATGCTTCTTCATACACCAGTTGCACCTGCAGATTTGCCGCTGAGGCTGCTGAGCGGCGGGTGCGACTGCCGCCGCCGCTGCCGCTGCCGCTGGGTGTGCGGGATGTCGAACGGCAGCAGGAGCGGGGGCCGAAGCCGAAGTCGCAGGTTGATTCGGGGCTGGGGTTGAGGGATGCCCAGCGTCTTGAGTCGCGCTCGAATTCTGCGCAGGGCGTTTGGTTGGGGCATTCGGAAGCGGCGTCCGCTTCTTAATAGTCGCCTGGGGCGCAGACGGCTGGGGGGTCGATGAAGAAGCCCGGGAAGACGGGGAGAGTGTGACCGATTCCGGTTTTCCGCCACTTTCGACAACTTTTGGCATGCTTTGTGGTATCTGCTGTCCGGCGGCACCATTCGCGGGGCCCGTTGTCGGACCCATAGCCGGATCGGAAGGCCCGGCGAATCCACCCGGAGGAGGATGAATGGGTCCCATCGCACTTCCCATCTGCTGCTCCTGGGCAGGGTCAGAAGCGGTATTAGATGGCGCCGAACGATAATTTGGGGGCATCGGGTTCATTGCCGCCATATCTTGCCCATCAGCTGGTGACAGGCCCAATAAAACAAACCAGTAGTTGCGACGCCAGTTAGGCCACTGGTTCTGGTTGCTGGCCATGCTTTAGGTTCGTTGTCTTCTATCAGCAAGTTATTCAACACAGTATTGAAAGCTAGTGATGAAGTGCTAGTTTCTTACCTTTCTAGTCTTGATTCACCGTCGGTGTTGTGTTCGATTTGGAATATGCAAGGAAGATTTAGGGATGACGGACGGACGGACGGATGGATGAATGGATGGCTTAATTATCTCCCGGAACAGATTCTATGGGAAAGGATCCTCCTGATCATATCCGTGAGGTACTATTCGGAGATGGGTTTTTTGAAGCACGGATCGTGGTGGCTAGGAAACCATGCAAAGCTATCAGGCTCAGGACATGAACTTAATCCATCGCTTGAGACCTCGCCGGCTAATCAGATATCAAGCCTACAAGGTACCCAGTCTCTATCCCGTCTCCGATATGCTCTCCCTTGCTCTGGTCGAATTTTCCGTGGGTAGTGCTATGGGCAAGGTGACAAGGTCCCAGAAAGACATCTAGGAGAATTTGGATCGAGGTCGTTATAGGTTGGATCGTCTTCATGGCAGCGCCTTCTTTGCCGCACAAGAGCCCGACTGAAGCCTTCTTCGTTCCCTGTTTCAATTTCACGAGATGTTTCCAACATTCCGATTAAGCAGATGTTAACTACTAATTGTGGGTCGAATTTCTACGAAATTCCGCCTGGACAACTAGTGGAGGATGGTGGCGATAACCGCCCAAATCACCCTTCTACGTAAGGTAGCAAACAGTACATGCAATATCCACACCTATCTCACAACTCAGCTATCTGGCTTCTCGTCCGCCGATACCACCTCCATTGACTAGCCCTCAGTCCTTCCATTCAAGATTTTTAAGGGCAGTCGGGTCCCAAGATCTCCCTTTGTCTGGGGTAGAAATGCGTGCTTCCCTCGATGGCGAGTTCAATATCTCGTCTGCAGGACCTTCGTCAAGAGCAATATTATCCCTCGACAGGGTATTACCCGTCGACCTTGAGGCTTTTCGCATGACCATTAGCAGTGGACTTCTCAGCCTGATGCTTCGCAGGTCGAGAGCCCGGCTTAGTCGCAGCCCTACGCCTCCGCTTTGCCGGCGGCTCCTTCTCATCCTCCTGTGCCTCCTCCTCCATCTCCCCTTGCTTCACCCTCTCCAGATCTCTCTTTCTTCCTTTGCTCGTGCCTTTGCCAAAGGAGCACCGCTCTTTCTTCCGAATACAATTCGAGCAAGCGCTCCCTCCGTCGAAGAAGCAGCTGTTTTCGAGGCCGCCATTGGCACAACGGTCACAGGGCTTTGTGTGCTTTTTGCCAGTATTGACAACATTGTCGGCGCGTGTGTGCTCCTTTTTCGTCTTGAGACTGACCTCGACTCCGTTCTTGTTGGAAGTTCGGCAAAACGAGCATGCGCACAACTGCGTTGCGGCACCTTTCTTCTTGGGCTTCTCGCTCGCGGCTGCAACATCTGCTTCAACCGCTGCCGCCGGGGTCGGTTGCCAAGGCTGGACTTCTTTCTTGGCTACTGTGTCTTTTTGTGTTTGGCCGTTGATAGTCGGTAGCGGTCGCCGAGCTGGTGGACTAGTGTTACCTATGCCCGGCTTTCGATTATGTTGGCTGCTGGGTCGATTGACAGGTGTGAATCTGGTGCTATACCTCGTATCGCCTGAGGTGGAAGCTTGATTTTGCGCCGGATCGGAAGCGGCCGGCATGATACGGTCAGAAGCGATGGGTGCCAGGGCATCGTCTGTGGTGGAAGTCTGACTGGGCGCCGTTGTGGAATCAGCTGGGATGAAGGAACCAGAAGCGTTGGTAGCTTCGGACTGCCCGCACAGCATCATCAATGCCTCTACCGCAATAATCTCGGTTTCAGTTAGCAGTGCCATATTTACGTCTCGCGGAGCTTTTTGGAACATTGATGGTAAATAGCGACAGCGAGGACAACTCAACCGCAGAGAAATGCATTGCTCTGCCTTTATAATTGCTGAAATCATCACAGATGCTAATTCCTGACGCAACGGAGATAGGTTCGGGAGGGACAGATAGGTTGTATGGCCAACTTCTACATATACCCAGGCTCAAGTGAAACTTAATTCGCAGTCTATCAGAGCATCGAATTGTTGATAGAAAATTGTCACAGGAGCCCATAGTCACAGGTGCGTGGATGCGTAATGGAAATCCCAACGTTGTTAGTTGAGGCTGATGGAGAGAGCTCTTCATCCGGCTGGCCCATGGACAGCGCCCTTTGGCATATCAATACACAAAGCAAAGAGTACTTTCAAACTCATTTCCCCACCGTTACCTACTCCCAAACACACTTGTCCTTCATCGCGGTGCACTCAGCGCAAGCCTTGTAATGATTCCACTGATGGCAATCAAGACCATACCTTGTGCATCTTTGGCAATATATGCCGCTAGGTCCTCCTTTCGTTCCACGGTCCCGAATCATGGCGGCGGTTGCATGCGCGTCTTGAGTTGTACGAGATACCAATTTACGAACACACTTTGAACATGAACATCTAGGCTTTTGTTTTCCCGCACTTTGAGATGAGGATCCACTGACATCTTGGTCGAGGTTGCCTGCTTTTTCGGTGGTATTGTCGCTCGAAGGAGTATCGTGAGGTGTATTGGTGTCTTCGGCGGCGTTGACTGATGGGACTGTGTCCGAACTTGCGTCCTTCGAAGGGGGCTTGCTAACGATCCCATCGTCTAAGGTGCCATCACCTGAAGTGCCTGGAGTGGTATCGTGAGAGAACTCATTCTGGAAGACCTCGTCGTGGGAGTCTTCATCGTCAGATAAGTCATCGTGTGGAGTGGCCTTGCTTGAACTCCCTTGCCTGGAAGTGCCTGCTTCTGAATCATCTTCACTTGGACTGGTATCGTTCGACATGGCTGAGTTTGAAACATTGGTGGTAGAAGTATCATCGGTTGTAGCGGTACTGATCGGAGCGGTGCCATTGATGGGATTATTCGCCGAAGTGGCATGGTGTGAATTGCCAGATGAACCATGGGTAGACGTAGTTCCATCCGCTTGGTTGTCGCCAACGTAATATTCTTCCTAAATCATTTGCACGACTTTTTGATGTTCAGACATGCCATAGTACGGGTCGTCATTCGAGCTGGACATGGTGATGTGGGAGCTGCGTGGGACTTTTTGTTGTTGATGGATAAGTGATGTGTGATGATTTTGGTGTTAGTGATGGTGTTGATGGGCAATTCTTGTTGATGCAGAGGATGAGAAGATGTCGATGTGTTCTGGTGAAAGTGCAGCACCTCCGCCCACATTCCAAAGAAGACGTACTCGAATGAGTCGATGCTGTGCCTTCCTTCTTCTTGACACATGTGTAATGCTTGGGGAAAGAAGTTCTGAGATGACTCGGCATCAGCGATGAGATATGTGGTCACGGCAGGAGCCTGGCTACCTAAGGTAAGGTAGATGTAACAATCGTCGCCAGTAGGAGCAGCAGAAAGAACAAGGCACCGACTCTGCTATTTCCCAATCCTGACCGACATCGTCAGAAAGAATGACCTTGTTCCTTCTCGAGGTGGACGGTGTCCTTCCACGAAGCACATAAACACCTTCCCAAATCACGACGCTTCCCTGCTCTTCTTTCCCGGTGAGAAACTTGATATCCTCTGTTACTGCCTATCGGAGTTACAACAAGATTGGTGAGCAGTAAGGTACCTTAGTATCTCGACTCGACGACGGAAATGTTGGGTCACCGCTGTATTGCCCATCAATCCCATATTTAAGCTAAATTGCAGGTGGACATCTTCCAGCACTGTGCTACTGACAAAGACACACCCAAGCCTCGCTTGGTATGGTCAGGTATTCCATTTCCATCGATAATTCGACAAATGTGGCATAGGAGGCGCGGCCTCATCCTACTAGAGCTACCTACAATGTAGCTCAAGGTTCTATGGATCTCATTGCATGTCCTCACAAAGATACATGGTGTATTTCTCAAAGTGGATTGACAACGGGGTGACAGCAAGGTCCCGAAGACAAGAACCGGTGCCTCATGGTGGCATCAATGAAGGAGAAGACGCTTGTGATGTGTAAGAGTAAATCATGGACGAAGGCCGATGCCATATCAGTCTGGAACCTTCTTAATCCCTAACCATCTCAAGGATCATGAACGAGAGGTTATTAGGACATTACAATCACCAAAATCAGCAAAAAACATACAACACCAGGTATTCGCTGGTCGTCACCGACCCAACTACTAATCCGGCCCTCATTAGCTTATCTATGGGAGAGCGGACGGGATCCCGAGTTTTCCAATGGGTATGGTCGTATGTGGTGGTTGAGGGCATTCCCAATGTTCATATTGGCACGACCTCCAGCTCCAAGTCCTCGGTGGTTTTGCGTGTGCTTATTACGAAGCAAGTTCTCTCTTATCTATGGCTCTAGTGGGCCTTTAAACCGCGCTTTTCTTTCATTTATTGAAACGAGTGTCAATCACATCCAATACCCATACCCAGCCATGTCGAAGACATTACAGGCCATTGGAGATGTGTGCCGTGGCCCAGACATCGCCGGGGGCTCTGCTGATACCCCAACGGGCATTTCTATGCGGACCACCGAGCCCAGACCCCGCACCGATACGCGCCCGCGTAGACTTGCCTTATCGCATGGAGTGGGGGAGCCTCAAACCAATGGATAGACACTCATATCCGTCACAGCTCCCGCATGCCGTGACGTCTTCATCGCTCCGGTGTGTGAGAGACGCTGAACAACATGACACGCCATATGAATACGAGACTGAGGCAATCTAAATCTCGTGTTTGACGTGAAAACCAACCTCACATATCTCCCGGCATCGATGAACCCCAGATCTCACTCATCACTCCCATTTGCTTATTCCCATCATCTCCATGTTCCCCTGAGGTAGTCATCCTTGCGCTCAATCTCGAAGACAGGTCCATCATATTCACTCATTCACTCATCCGTCTGTATCAATCATGGACGAGAGAGCCCGCATCCCCGTTACTCTCCCAGTCCCAAACCCAACGCCCAGCTACTGGCACTCACCTCCCTCCCGTCTCTCCACCTACACGTCCGGTCCATCACCGCCCGCCCGGACTGATACCCTGATCATAGGAAGTGGCATCACCGGCGCAGCCATAGCAAACTTCCTCCTTTCCTCCGACAATACGTCACCATCGCCCCCAGACATCACCTTGCTGGAGGCCCGCACCCTCACCTCTGGTGCAACAGGTCGCAACGGCGGCCACACAAAAGCCGCATCCTACCGATCATTCGTTCATCACGCAAATACTCTCGGGACAGAAGCCGCTTGCCTCATTGCGCGACTCGAACTCGCAAACATTCGAGCTGTTCACGCCTTTGCCGCGTCACATCTCAAATACAAGGAGACAGAGAGCAGACCTTGCCAGACTGTTGACGCAATATACGACGCAGCGCAGTGGGAGGCTGCCAAGGAGGCCGTAGTGGCCATGAGGGAAGCGATGCCCGACGACGATGCATCAAAGTACGAACTCTTTGGTGTCGAGGAGATGCAGAGGCGGTTTCACGTCGCAAGAGAGGGATTATGCGGAGGCATCGGATACGAAGCTGGAAGCATCTCCGGGTACCGCTTCACCACCGGCGTGCTAGAGTTATGTGTCAATAAAGGCATGAAACTCTTCACAGAGACACCCGCTCTGAGTGTCAAGAAAGTCCAACAAGGGGTCTCCGAGGACTCCGAGGGCTCCGAGGGCGCCTACCGCTGGATAATCGAGACACCCAAAGGACAGATCAGGGCCCGCCGAGTCGTGCTAGCAACAAACGGCTACACGGCATTCCTGCACCGGCGCTTCCAGGAGGTCATCGTGCCGATGAGAGGCCAGATCACAGCCCATCGCCCGGGATCGAACATACCCGAGACAGGCCTCGCGACGACGTACAGCTTTATCTACGAGGCCGGCTACGAGTACATGATCCCCAAGCCGGCAGGCACGCAGTTTGCCGGCGACATCGTCATCGGCGGCGGGCTGGTCCGCGCCCACGACGCAGGGCTGGGCGAGTACGGGACGACGGATGACTCGCGGCTGAATCCCGTCATCAGCTCGTACCTGCGCGAGACGACGCCGCGCTATTTCGGCGAGGATTGGGGGGACGATGACCCCGAGGGCAGGGTGCGCGCCGAGTGGACGGGCATCATGGGCTTCAGCCCCGACGGCTTCCCATTCGTGGGTGAGGTGCCGGGCGAGGACGGGCTGTGGGTTTGCGCGAGTTTTCAGGGGCACGGCATGGTGTTTTGCTGGATGTGTGCGAAGGCGCTGGCCGTCATGCTCGAAGGCAGCGACGAGGAGGATGAGGTGAAGAGGGCGGAAGAGACGGAGAAGCAGCTTGGCAGCTGGTTTCCCGACGCATTCAGGATCACATCTGCACGCCTGGCTCAAAGATTTACAGGGAGAGTGAATCACTCGACGGCTGGATCCGCTAATCAGGCGCAGAACTAGAGACATAAAGGCATGAATGTCGAGGGTTCACCTCGCAACACCTACCTGACGCCAGGTGGGCTGGTTGTCTTGCTTGCTTGCTTGCTCATTGCAGCTGGAATAGAGTTTAACCGCGCCCGCCGTGGCCTGTTAGCTTAACCATCCCCTCGGATTCCTATCGTGAAAAATGCGTGGCCGTATGAGCCGTTCTGGCGGTCAAAGAAAACATATGCCAGGGAGGAAAGGAAAAATGGCGTCTCATCCGGCTCCCCGCCGTCGTACCTTGGGCAAACGACGTTGTCCTGTTTGCTCTTGGCTCTACGAGCCGGCGTCGGGAGAGACGATCACGAGGTGCATGGCCACACGGCATCATGGATTGGTCATTGCAAAAACATGCCTGGATAGAATACGACGATGGCAGAATTGTCTTGACGGTTTGTGGGGTCGTAGTTCAGCCGGCCACTTTCCTATTCGGCGTATCTTGTGTTGCAATGAATCAGTCAGGATGCCATGCGTCAAAAAAGGGCTCTCACGCCAGGTTCCAAATCGCGCGCGTATTTGCGGCCGTTTGATGCCATCTGCATGTCGCACAATGCGTAGGACAGCAAACATTTTGACAAACCCCCACTCGACCGACCGACGCCTCCACAGCTCGGAATGGAGGCTAGGAACGAAGTAGAACCCGTCATGTTCGTCCGTCTCTGCTTGTGGGCTCTCCCAATCGAGCGGCACAAGCGGGAAGAATCTCGCCAGTGCGCTGGCATGGTACTGCTCGCCTCGGGATCGCTTGCAGGTGCAGGTCCAAGGAGGACCACCCGGTTGGAAACAATAGTCCAGTGGGGAGGATGATGAATGACGTTGGGCGCAGTGAGACGCATGAGACGCAAAAGATGGGAGAGGCCAGACCTGAGAGGCAGAGCTGTGGCGTTCTTGGGTGCCGTCTTCTTGGACGCAAAGACAGGACGACACTTCAGCCATCGTCCGGTAGGTTGGCGGATGGCGTCCCCCCCCCTCCGTCCGGTCAATGTGTGAAGGGATGGCAGGCAGCACATGTTGTGACGGGTAGCTGCTGTTCGAGCCACTCTCAAGAGTCCTAGCCTCCAAGGTGCTTCCGCAAGGACAGCAAAGGCTAAACAAAAACGCCTTGTTTTGATACTATTTAGCGGACCGCAAGAGAGCAAGTTTTGATCCAGAGAGGTATCAGAGTGGAACAGCCTGCAGTGGCCACAAAACGCACAAATCGAATGTGACTCTGGAAGCAGCCATGGCCTCATATTCTGCTCGATGCGTGCCAAGATGGCCTTGAGAACCCCGCTCGACCAAAAGCATTGAGGCAGGTGCTTAATGCAGTCCTGGGCATCGTGGTGCGCGTAGCACCACGGAAAGACAAGACAGGGGGGCGTTTGGTTGACAACTATTGCCGGCCGGCTTCTTCCCAGCCCAAAGCAGGACGGGACCGCAGCTGACGGAACCGCGGACGGATATGCGATCCACCGTTCTGGAGACCTTGACAGGCTGCGAAACCCGAAGGATTCAAGCAGCCAAGCGGCGTTAAGAGAGCACTCAGCACAATCGGCACCGAAGGTAACCCGACAGAGGGGATAGTGGCCCGCAACTGCAGGCACAAGACATAGACCACCCAATAGCCCTTCGTTTGGGACCGCACCACCACGTCGCCAAATGCGGTGAGAGTGTCAAAGGGTAGAAGGACGCAGTTATGTGCCTGCGGCGGCGTGATGTCAGGGCCGGGCGTTGCCCAGCGCAAGGGCGAGGGCATACAGTGAGGCTTGGAACCTGCGATGATCTTCTCTGCCGTTTGAGTCATGTCTAAATGCGCATGTACGTAGGCTGGGCCGTTTGTAGTTGACGTGCGTTTGTCACAAGCATCGCGGCCCTTCGTCATCATGCTATGCAATGTCCATGTACCGGGAATCTACAGTAGACAATACTCGCGAAATTCGGGAGAGGTCCCCGGGCCTAAACTCCCTCGTAGTGCCCGATGATTCCGAAGATCTTCATTGCGCCAATTTGGCTCGAATTGCTAGTGGCGTTTTAGGATCGTTCGACGAGCAACGCAAAGAGGATGCAGCTCGGCTGAGCATAGCGGCATATACGTTTCTGTAGCTCGCGCCAGACAGGCGTGATGGCTGTGTCGTTGGGATATGAAAGTTTGCGGGAAAAGCATGCCAAAGAGTCTATTTGCTAATGGGATCGGGTGGCATGCGGTCAGAGCAGGGCAGAACGCGTGGGCTGGCGCTTGTACGGCCGAAGTCTCTATCATGTCCTGTGCTGTAACGTAACTGGTATTGCCCTTGGCGCGAGACCATCAGATGGCTCAAGTCATGTTCAGTAATCATCTTTTCCAACCTCGAGGCTGTCTAGCACGTCTGGGTATGAGACGGCGGCTGCGATGTTTTCGACCGCCTTGGTCGTGGTTGACACGGCTCGGTAGCGTACTGAACGCGATCGGCAGTCAAAGTATGGGCCGATAAGCAACGGCTTCAGAACGTCGCGTCCAAAGCTGTCGAGCCTTGCTCAGGACCCCGGCTCGTGGGCGGTGATTACCACTTAGTTCGACTTCAGAGGGGGCTGAGACTAAGGTAGCTCAGGCCTTTTGTTTCGCCCTGGGATGGGATTCCAAAGAAGGGCAATGCAAGTTACACATTGGCCACGCTGACCACGTTTGAACGAATCAAGGCCCGCCAAGGCGACAAGAGATGAGTTGACACAACGGGGGCGCAACCTAGCTGCCAAGGAGCGCGATAGAATCTGATCCCTCCTTGGGTAGACTTGGTGAACCACGGACCAGCGGGCACGAGTTGAAGCTGCGGACGCCAGGGACGCTAAGAGATCATATGAACCTCGTAGTTGGATGGAGCTCGCAAGTCGCATCCGTCTCAATCCCCGCCTGGTCTTGTTTGGTCTGGTGTCTTCATTGTCCTGTTTCTGTCCCATCCAAGGTGGATAGAGAGTTGATCTGAACCCGACTATGTGAAAGGCAAATGAGCTGACGGGGATCTGCAGGGCGTTATTCCCGGTGCGAAAAGGACGACCAACGCCCGTTCGCTCCGGGCGGTAGACGAAGAGGTCGGGTGGACAAGGAACGGGGCTGCGACATGCTGGCGGGAAACAGGGACGAGTCGCAGAGTCGCGGCGTTGCTTGGCGGCACGAAACGGCGGACGGCGGTCAACCGGGACTTACTGTCGCCTCAACTGCCATTGGGTCGACGCCAGATTGGACGAGACGAGACGATGTCGCCTTGGTCGGTCGATGGACGGTATGTCAATGTGAGTGACAGCAAAAGGAAAGGATGAGGTTGTGGTCATGGGGGGGCTCCATTTGGGGTCCGGGAGGTCGCATCCGAACGTGGCATTCGACGGGTTGTAATAATGCAATGGAATGGCAATCGCTTGCATGGCGCGGGAACTCATGATGTGTGATACCAACCTACTACTTAGATGTCTAGAATAGTCATAATCCATTTCCGTTCTCCAGTTCGTATCATTCAAGAGAGAGAACTAGAAAGCACCAACCTACCTCGGCCCTCGACGCAGTACGCCAAATGCAGAGGAATAGGATTGAAAAGGCCACGGGCCTAAAAGGCTAGAACGTTGCAACTGCCGAGTGACGAGCGGCGTAGAGGAATGCGATCTTCGCTGCAAAGTAACGACTTTTGGGCCCATCCACGGACCTCTCCGCTTACAAATGTCAGCTTGCGACTGCCGTGCTTTGGAATCAGTTGGTTTTGCCCATGGCTCATTGTCTATTATCCGTATCTCAATAGCCCAATGCGCTGTTGAAACCAGAGTGTTAGTATCTTGCGATGCTAACTTGCGACGTCTCTGTGCATCGCAAGATGGACCACGACAGACTATAACTGATGGGCAAGTCGTTGAGGGATAAACCAGCTCGTCTCGTAAACATTGACATCTCCCAGCCAGTGAATACAGGATACATGCGGATCCAAAAGAGTGACCTGCCGATGGGCCGCCCCCCTTCTCCCAAGAAAAGCTTCCTCCCGAGTCCCGGCCCAGCGTGCCATTCCTCTGGGAACATCCACAACGATGGCTGGGGCCCCTAGTTGCCCTGTTATCCGTTGAAGGCGGGTATAAAAGTACTCTGAATTTGAGGGTTGCAGCGCTTTATCCTTCTCATGTCCCCTTCTGTCTGGGGAGGGGGGGGGGGTTTTCCAACAGTAGGCAAAGGGGAAGGGAAAGGAGGATCCAAGGGCTAAGGGAAAAGGAGGGAAGGGTGTCGGGACACGAGTGGTGACTTTGCGTCCCTGGTCGAGAGACACGGACGGCGTTGTGATGGGAGCCGTGGAGCCAGGTACTCTCCATGTACCTCCTTTGCTTCCTTCGCATCCTCGGCATGCCCTCTTTGAGTAAAACCCATTCGATTTCCTGTCCCTCCCTGTACCGCCAAGAAGGACAATCTGGGTCCCGGCCCCCACAAGGGGGACAAGTTCAAATCCCGAAAACTAAAGTTCCACTCTTTCTTTTGGTGGTAGTGTAGTGTATTCTTCCGGCGCTCAACTTCGCTCCCGGTCTCCGCGCACACTCGCAACGGGCGGGATCTGCTCACAGCCAGATGGAAGTCTCTTTAAACATGCTGGGTCTCGTGTTTTTCTCCGAAGGTGACCTCCATGCGCGGGTGACAATCAGGTCATACCTGAGTTACGGGCTGTCAGGTCTGACGCATGGTTTGTGTGGAACATCAAGATGAGGGGGTTCTACATAGTCAGAAGCAGTCGAGCAAACCAGGTCGCGTATCCTATTGACAGAGAAAAGGTTCATGTTTACTTTTTTTTTGCAGTAGACGGATTGAGCTCGATACAGGACAACGGGCCAGACGCTTTCCCTCCACCTCTGACCGTAACCACTGCTGCAAGGCTTTTTGTGATATCTGACAAAGACATTTTTAAGAGTGGGCACTGCTGCTGGATTGGAGGACCCAAGCACCCGCCGACGAGGGTCAGCCCGGGTCCGGGAGCATGGACATGGGTTTCTCGTCAACGACTGCCAGTGACCGCTTCTCGGGAGCCAAGACCAACTTTGCCATGCTCGTCGGTGCTTGACTGAGTGGCTTCGTATCCGTAGCATCGGTATGCTGTCAGCATGTACCTCTGAAAGCAACCTTGGAAGAGTCAGAAGTGGTGCTTCCCACCTTCGATTGATCATTGATGGCCTTCCTTTACCATGGTAGGGCGGATTCTGCGCCCGTTTGATAGGCGATGGAAGGGAGGGATGGACCTTGTTGGCGCCTCGGTCACAGACATGGACTGTGACACTGACAGCTGGATGAAGGCCGCCAATTGTCGAAACACTCTTGCTCTTCCCCCTCCAGTGGACCACGACCATTGCTCAGCTTCGGCACTCGGTCACGCCTCCGGAGGCAGTCGATGGGCAGGGAATTTTGGTCGCACTAGAGTATCGATATCGATCATCTCAAGCGTTTGGGGCCCATCCAGATCTTGGCCGGTGGGTTTGGCTTCGTGGGGTCCGGGAAAGCGATAGTGTATGCTTCTTCTTCTTCGGGACGTCGCGCAATCTCACGCAATCTCGCGGAACCCCTAGTAGGCTAGTCCTACGGATACACAGTACGGATACATCTGTGTGATCTCTGGGCTCGATCTTGCTGGAGACGGGGGGTCCATCAGAAACCCAAGAGCCGCAGATGGTCATCTTCACGGTGCCGACAGGTCGACGGCCCCGGCCCTTCAATTTCGACCGAGCCTCGGTGCTCTGTGCTCCGTGCTCCGTGCTCCTGTCCCAACCCTGAGCGTCCTGACTATTCGTGAATCGTAGGTGCTGCGTTTTCCCGGGAGTCCCCTCTCTCGGTTTGGTGTTTGATTGTGTTACCCGCCACCTGTTGCAGGTTGATGGCGCTTCATCCCAGCAGTTTGGAACGAGACAGATTAGAGTTCACGGACGAGGTCTTGATCCTTCGTGGCTCCATCTAAACCTGCCTCGATGTCGAATGATATGTCGTAGTGGACGAAGGCCAAGACCTGGCCCGACGTGAAGGGGCTGACAGGCGATGGACGAGCTAGGCGAGTGGTAGAGAAGAGATGCTGATCATGTCGATTATCACGGAACTCTCCGTTAACTTTGATGTCCCTGCGAAAATCCTCGATTCGTCTTGAGGGCCCTGCCAGATTCCGGGCTTTGAAAATGACCTTGTACCCGTCCAGCACAGGTGGAGAGAGAAGTGGATTAGATAAGCATACCCTGTACACTCCCATGGAAACGTCCGAGCCAGGGGGGATGAGTGACTGAATACCTTGCCGAAGCCTGAAGGGACACGGGGGAACTAGGAGTGCGGGTGGTCGATGTAACTCGACACCCACAGGTACTTCGCCTTGCCTTTGCCTTGCCTGCCCAGATCCATGTGACGGAGGCAGGCGGCCGGTTCCAGGTCAAGGAAACTCCTCCCACCCGCAGCTCCCATTGCAGCTACATGTAGAGCGCAGGCGAGGCGGGCAGGGCAGGGCAGGGCACTTGCTTTGCTTCTGCTGTGCTGTGCTTTACTGTGCTGTGCGCTGTGGAGTGCCGCTACTGGATGAATCATGCTCCCACCCCGTTGGGTCGGCGAGCACTTATACAGCAAGGTAAGTAATATCCACAGGTCGCTATGTGCGGCCCTGAGTAGCGGTCCTGGACTAAGGTACTGGGTCCTCATTGCACGCATCTTGAAGGACATGCTTCCAACGATAGTCCGCCTGGCAAGCAGGTCGATGGACGTCCGCAGGAGAGTTCCCCATCAACAGCTCCAGTTGCCCCTCTTCAGTACAGAACATCTAGGCCTTCATTGGCATCTCGACTGGCCACGCCTAGTCATGTGCTGCTCAGAGTCTTATTGTGTCTCCTCTTTCCCGTTGCTACACATGCAGGTTCATGTCCAGTCTCCATTCTGCCATCACGTAGACGGTCCGCCCATTACGCACGCATCGCCTTGGTAAGTTGGCTCACTTCCGCATGCCAACAAGAGAACGGATACCTACTCTGTACAGATCATCGCGGCCGCAATGGATATCTCCACCCGGTGACGGCTACCGGTCAGATACAGCATGCGCTCCCCGTTCGAAAAGGAATCTACTGCGCACATCATCGCGCGTCCTATCGAGGGTTTTGGCAGCTCCTGACTCGCCCATCTATCATCATGGCACCACGGCACCGCGGCCATGGTCGCAGCCCTAAGGCAAGCCACGTCTGCCAGCGCACCAGCACATTGAATTGTTTCTCAGAACCGCAATCCGGCGGCCTCATATGAACGAGGAGTGCTCGCGATAAACCCCCCGTCTTGTTCGATCTTCATAGCTTACCATAGTAAGAGCTAGCCGGCGTTGTCTCGACTCTTTGGGGTAGTACCTGTCACGAAAAGTCACTTCACCTTGACCTGAGCCCGCCTTACATCCATCCACTTCAGCTACGACCTCACCGAATCCCACTCCCTGACTGTGTAATGCCCCCCTCTGTCCCCTCTCTTGAACCCTTTTCACTTGCTCCCCTCACCACGTTCAATCTTTTCGCCTTTCACTTGGCCTTGCCGTTTCCATTCCATCCCGCGCTGCACGAGCAAGCGGACAAGAGAACCGCTGTGAAGCGTCTTCGTATAGAGATTCGATGAGCTGATGTTGTGACGGAAGAGGCAAGATGTGCTCTACCACATGGGGCCACGTTGGTTGCTGCTCCGCCGTACCTCCTGTCTGTCCCACCGCTGTAGGTATTCTTGTGTATGTATGCGCTGTGCTTGTGCTACCTACGAATACGCAACGCAAAGGCAGGGTGATGCCAATTTTGGTGCAAAACAGACGTGCTTCACCCCCAAATCCCTGACCTGAGCCAATCACAGGTCCATCATGGCGCCTTCGTTCCTCATTCCCGGGTCCCCACGTCTTGAGGTCTGACCCGACAGCTTGTTTTGAAGGATTCCTTCCCCTCCTCTCCGACGCCGATGCCCTTACCCTCTCCCGCTGCCCGCACCACTGATGTGCGCAGCCACCCCACTGACAGTGGTCAGGTCTGTTGTACCCTGCCCGTCCTATCTGAACGGGAGGTACATCTCCAGGCGGACCAGGCCCCAGGGGCCGACAGATGGGCGTTGGGCACACTCGAGGAATTATAGGCGGCTGAAGGGGCTAACCAGATTCTAGGCGTCGTGCCTATGGCTAACTCACTAATGCTGTCGAGACTCGTCTCTCTGCGCAGTAAGCATGATGCGCTCGCTTGGTGCCAAATATCGCTGAGGACAGGTTGCACTCCATGAATTGCCTCTCATTTCCATCTTCGTCATCATCGCCATCAACCGGTGAAATTATCAAAGATGATAGCCATTTCCGTGCACTCGTAAGGTATTACCTGCCATCCTGGACTGCAGAGAACCACTGCCTGGGTATCAAGCGGGAACGCATTACCCGCCCCTGCACGTAAGTCATCCAAGCCTTGCTGGATCCGTAGCATTTGAAGTATCGAAGCAGAGCGCAAGTGCCACTTGTACCTGGGCGAAGCAATGTACATTCCCTGGACTGTCATGTACCTTTCCTTCCCTGCCTTAGTGCACGCTGGTTCACCTCCATACTTCCTGAGAGGGCTACAATGTACAGCGACCCGTGCAGGGACGCGGAGCAGCAAGACCTGGACCTTGCCAGTCGTCCCTACGGATACACTACGTGATTACGGATACTCGTCCATCCATGCCTCCTCCAGCCTACACTACATTCTGCTGCCTGCCTCTCACTGTCCCTTGCCTTTGGACCACTGACACCAAACACATACTTAATCGCTCCCTTTTCACCTCTTGTTTCCACCATCTCTTTGCTCAACGTTGCCATACTGTCGGGCCCTCGAGATTATCCACGTCATCGTCAAGCAGCCCAGGATTTCTCTGCATTTTATCCCCCCGACCGCTCTCCCAGTCTTGCTCGGTCTTCATCTGCCGGGGGTTTCGTCAAGTCACCGATCACCTGTCAAAAGGATTCGAGATACCTGCCAGGGTCGACAACCTCTTCCCCCGCACAGGGCAATCGGCGAACAAGCCGATCTCACCACATTCTGCTTCGTCGAATCGTCGTGGTTCACACCCTAGCGACGTTGACGGCCGAGAACACAAAGTCCTGTCGCGTCAGACCGAACACCGCTCTTCTAGACGGGCGCTAGTCGATGGTCGAAGTTTGCTAGACAGGTCGCAGGTTACATAGCCCACACGAAGCCTGATCACCACACCCCTGATAGCAAAAGGTCATCCACAAACACCATCTCAGCCCGTCCGCCATCCGCCGCATCCTCTGGTACCCGGCTGCTTCAGCTACCTTGTTGGTACGTACCTCGTCGACTTTAATAGTCTATGGGACGACCCCCTTCTCGTTTCCCCCGTTTTTGGAAGCCATTCACTTCTGAGGCAACTTCACGGGTCGTGTCAAAGTCGATGCCGAGCCATCCAAACCACCATACCCTTTCTTCCTTCACACCAGGCCAGTCCCTTCGCAAGACATGCCAGAATTTCCGAGCAGACTGTTGAATCGAACCCTGATCCCCTTCCATTTTTCTCCTCGCTGCTCGCGTCCTCAACTTATCTCGTCCCGAACAAAGCGCACGCACACCACCCCCAAATAACCCTGTCCCATTGTCTCGGGTCCCTCCTTGTCCTCCGCTCCAGTAGTTTTTTTTATCCTTTTTTCCCTCCTTCTCTTCTCCAAGACAAGCAGCGCAAAGCTTGCTTTCCCATCATTTGTTGTCGCCTCCCCGCTCCAACACCTCCAGATAGGTTGACGTTTTCGTCCAACATCGTCCCTATCCAGACTATCTTTCTATCCACAAGCGGCTCGACTGCTCCCCACGCTGCTTCGGGACTTTTCTGATCTGACGGTTGAGAACAGAAAAGTCTTGCTACCAATCAGGGACGTCATCGCTGGCATTTTGGTCTCGGTGAATGGGTCCATGACTGTTATTTTCCATCCCTGGGAAGCACTCCGACACTGAGAAAGCAAGGTTTGGATCGCTTTGCATTGCCGCTTTGCATTGCCATTTTGCATCGCTGTCAACGTGCCGCCAAGTTGAGCGTCGTCGCCAAGGAACTTTCTCCACGCCCAACGGCAGTCGAACTATTTTGCGCTTGGCTTCAGAACGTCGACTCGACAGGCGTCTGTTGGTTGCAACCCGCACCACGAAAGTAATTCTAGTCCACAATGAATTCGCCGCCAAATTCATTCCGCGAAGAACAACTGAGAGACCTCTTGGTAAAGTCAGCCCGTGGCCCGCACTCGGACCAAGAACCGCCCGGAAAGCGGCTCAAACTCGGCGGCCCCCCTTCTCCGGCAGGCTCAGGCCCGGCCGTCATGTCACCACCCGGTTCCACCGACACAGCCATCACTGTCGGTTCTCATAATGGGGACGAGTACGATACCGAAAGCTTGACCGACAGTGTGAGAGAGCACATGTACGAGAACCGTCTAAGATATCACGCCTATCGCGCTGGACGTTACGCATTTCCCAATGATGCCACGGAACAAGATCGCGACGAGATGAAGCACATTATCAGCATAGAGCTTAGTGGGAGGTACTTCTTTTCCCCTGTCGACGACTTGATGGCAAGAGGTGCCGAAATCCTGGATTTGGGTATGTGAGAGCTTTTTATGTGAGGCAAGGTGGTGGTGACGTACTTGAGATTATCGTGGTGAATGCCTACCGCCACGGAATGTCTACGCGCAAGAAACATCACAGCATGGTTTATGGTGCATCGTCGTTGCGAAGAGCGACATGCGAGTCCTGCGACGTCACCACCTAGCCGCCTGTTTACTCGTTAAAAAAGGCAATGAATCGCATGTGGTTAACATTATTCTTTGCAGGTACCGGTCCCGGCCACTGGCCTATCGAACGTAAGTTCCAAGTCACCAGGACGCTGTCTCCAACTTGTCAACTATCTTCCGTTCATCACACGAGTCTTCTTTCTGCCCTTTCCAATATCACTCTGTTCATGATATGCGGTAAAACTGACCTGTATTCCTCGTAGTCGCCGACATGCATCCCAACTCTACGTTCCTCGGCATCGATTTATCTCCGATTCAGCCAAGCGAAGTCCCTCCTAACTGCCATTTCATGGTTGACGATATTGAACACGAAAACGGATGGGATTTGGAAGAAGAGTACTTCGATTTCATCCATCTGCGACATACCCTGCATTCCATTCGCGACCGCACAGATCTCATGCAAAGGGCTTACAGGTAACCAACTCATCTTATGTCACAGACTCTTCGCGAATGGTGAATCATGTTGCCGCTGGACAGGAGACTAATCATCCGGCAGGCACCTCAAACCTGGCGGTTGGTTCGAAATACAGGAGCTTGAGTTCTTTCCCTTGTGCGACGACCAGTCCTGCCCGGAGGGAGACGGCTACGGTTTCCGAGTCTTCACGCAGTACTTGGACTCAGGGTTAAGGGTACTCGGATCAGAAATGCATGGCATCCGCGCCGCCGCTGATGAGATGCGAGCTGCTGGGTTTGAGAATGTGGAAGAGGACAGGAGGAAATGTCCCATCGGCGACTGGCCAGCAAGGCCTGAGCTGCGCGAGTGTGGAATATTGATGCGGGAGACGATCTTGGAAGGCCTCAAAGGTCTGGCGACACGACCTTTCAGAGCCCTTGGGTGGACCGAGATACAGATCGAAATGTTCTTACTGGACGTCCGGTCGCACGTCAAGGAAAGGGACTTCCATTCCTATCTCAACCACAGGACAGTATTCGGAAGGAAACCGCTCGACGCGCCGAAGCCATGAGTAGCAACATCACGAATTAAAACGTTCGACGACACGAAACGAGCGAGGCGACGAGTACGAATCACATCACCGCATACCGGCAAAGGCGATGCAGGGTTTTCTAGATTTATGTTTTTGATTTTCCCGGGACTGGACGCTTCCTTTTCCCACATTGTACGTGCTTTGGTGTATCTGGGGCATTGCATCAAAGGGGTCCGGCTGGCGGGCTGGCATCATTATCGTTATCATCATGACAACAACGGCACTGCATCGGTTTGGGGGTCTTCCGATGGGCTTTGGGGTCTACGGACGGCGGGAGGTAGCTTCGGCTTTGGCATGCCATGATCACATTCGGGCTGCAGCGGGCGATGGCGGAGTTTTTTGTTGACTTTGTGCTTCAAGAGGTCATGAGATCATGAAGACCATGGCGATCTTATTAACTATATCAGTTTTTCTGAGGGTTGGGCACTTATCTTACCGGTTCATCCCGATACTTTGGAGAAGTTCGTATACAAGGGTTTGATGAGAAACCCCTCGAGTGTTGGACAAATGGAGCGGTGATGGTATATCCATATCAGAGGACAACTACATGTGTCTCATCTCCGAGGGAATATCTCTCTCCTTGTCTTCTCCGGCCTATCTTGAAGAGTGCGTGCAATGGGTCAATAATGCGACGGGTCGAAGGAATGGGCCCACAGGTCATATCGCAAAAGCATGACGACGTACATAGGTTGTAAGCACTATAAGTATTTATGTTGGCGATTACGCAGTGCATGTCTCCTATGCGTAATGAGTGCAGTCATAACCCTGCTAGCTTTTCATAGGGTAGTCGTCTAACCCTTTGTGTCCTTGGCCGGCATTTGTAATTCGTTTTCTGTCGGTCAGAAAACCATACCGGGCCGCTGTTTTTGGTTTTTCAGATATGCGGACAGGGCTGCTTCCTTGCGAATTTGAACGAGGTAGTTGCGATGTGGTTGACTAGGTAAGGTACTTACTTCATGAAACATACATAGGGATCCAGACAGTAACACATGTCTGTTAATACATGTACGTTTCTTTTCATAGTGTGTACTAGCAGAGTAGCTTAAACATTGTCATGCTTTCCCGAGTCTTTTGATTAACTATGAGCTGGACAGGCTGGGGCCATCGCCAGCCAGACCATGATTGATCAAAAGCTCAGTTTGGCTCCCTGTAATCAATATGTGAGTTCCTGGACCACTATTGGATCATCTTGAACCTGTTATTTCAGTAGAAACTGGGGTTATTTGTCATTTTGATCGATAGTGGGCTACTACACCTCCTAGGTACATGTAGCTTCATCAAGTATTTGACAGCTAAAGTATTTGACACAGCTTTTTTATACTGAGTGGGCGTAGAATTTGCTGATTTGACAATTATATATGTTGAAACTTGTTAAATAATATTGCTAGTTTCCAAGTTCCAGTTAGCCTGCTGTTAGTACTTGTGAAATCGGATGGCTAGGGCCAGGTCAGTTTTTTTTTTTTTCACTCTTCGCAATAGCTCTTTACCTCTTGTATTACAGAATAGCACAGAACCCACGCGATCTACAAGCATCGGGTTGGGTTCTATGCAGTTGGCCCAAGACGGTTTAGGAAGGCTGAGAGCCTGAGACTGAGTTGGATTGCATAACTTGCACGGTTTCGGAAGGAGGTGGAAAGCTAAGAAAAGTTTGCCTGGTCGGAGCCAGATAAATACCAATCAAAATCGCCGAGATAGGACGGACGAAACGATTGGAATGCTCCATTTGTCCCTGCGTCCCTGCCTGAAGTCGAGAAAGATTTTCGTCAGGCCCCCTGGGTATCAGCAGATATTGCAGCGGTCTGTCTGCCAGCTGACTTTCCACGTGGCCACCTCGCACATTAGACCTAGATTTGGGTTTGTCTTGCCATAAAATCTACTATAAACTCACTTGACATGCCCCTTGCTATGAGCTCTATCTTGAGGCACAGATATTGCGATCCATAAGCTCTTTGCGGCTTGAAGTCATTAGCATGACACAATAGCTTCACTCTGTTGAGATACCTACTACAAGATATGCCTAGTCAGCTGATACGATTCGGCCTAATACCAGAATCTAGTTCCTATGTTACAAATCATAAGAACACAGAGCTATAAATTCTGTCACAATTTCTCATAATCCATCTGAAAATTCCCTATGTGAACCGCCTCGTTCCTGAGGCTTTTTCTCTTTCCAAAAACGCCATGTCATCAAATCACCTAATGATTTAGACTATTAATGTCAGAACGGAGTCAACAGATTGAGTTTTGATAGTATATTTGCTACGGTCTGAACAGCAAGATCCTTACGTCTACGACCTCTTTGCAACTGCAATTACTAGTTCGACGAAGTGACATGACTGTATTGACTTGTGACCCATGTTCAACGCAGGCGGGAGCAACTTGGGCGGAACGTCTAGTTGCCATTTCAACAAAGAGAATAAATATTATAGAGCTACCTGTCCTTTTGCAACGGTTTTAATTCATGAAGACAATAGCATATGCTCCCTAACCAAAAAGGGATTTGGATAATCCCGTTATTTTGCAGATCTAATTCAAATACTCCTTTCAGCCTACCCGTAGCAGTATACCAGAGACCCAGACCTCTAGTTCTCGGTCATTCATGAATCGACTGACGATGGCTCTCATCAATCCGAGACTAGTGTCGTCGGGTTGAGATTAACCATCCGGAAAAAATACAGATACACTCTGATCGCCCCCATCTTTCACTAGGTAGGCTCTTGCTCTATTATCAAAAGCCTCTCCTGGTGGATCCTGCAAAGCCCCTTGACGGCACAGCATGCAAGCAGACCAGATGTTCGCAAAGGACGCAATAGAGCCCAAGCTTCATTAAAGTTCCGGAACTATATACTTCAGACTTTGGGTAATAGAAGCCGCCCCCTGAGATATCGCGAGATATGGAGCGCTTTGCTGAATGGACGAGTCATGGATTGTTCGCGATTTTTTTCCCGAGTCAATGCACACACATGTAAAGGGGCAACAGATTGCGGGTACTAATCGGTTGACGGGAGCCACTGTTGGATGGAGATCTGGCGGACAACTACCTTCATGTTGATTGCGCTGCCTCGCATCTGCCCCGTGTCTGGTCAAATCGTACGGATAGCCTAGTCTAGATTCATTAGAGTAAAAGCGAAAGAGGGACTGAGCTCTGAATAAGCACTTGCTGAGCATTCAATGCCAACAAGTCTCCGTCGGACCTGTTGACGAATTTGTCCTAATCAGACGTACTACATTTAGTGACCTGGAGGATAATCAAGTTTCTAGAAACGGCTGAGCGTAAGGTACGAGGAAAAAGACTTGAGTTCCCTGTACGCTATTGGAGTTGTGATTCATGAGAAAGCCTTGAAGAACCAAATTACATCGTCAGAGAAGAGATGCATGATGTTACAAACTTGCATCAGATATGGCCGTGGTTTTACTTCACTTTCTGATTATGAGGTACTCGATGTGCATCTGCCTAAATATCTTTCTCAAGGCCCATACGGCTTACTCAACCCTAGTGCGGTCTCCAGATCAAAGATGCATGCAGCAACTTGAATCTGGCTCATATTGCTGACCAGAAACCGGACAACCTTGAACCAAGTGCCTGCCAGATCCATATGACTAAGATGGGTTGGGAAACCCAAAACCCATAAACTTATTCTGCGTATTAGGCAGACAGTCTGGACCGCTGTGGTACGCTCTCCAACATCAGTATGAAATGCGCCAAAATCTGATTTTCAAAGCCATATTGTGAAACCATTGTGTGCTCTACTGACTCACTCTGAAGCCATGATGGCAGCCAACGTGGTATGAGGGGCACATGTCAGACGCCCAGAGTTGCCGAGAATTGGTTGTGGCTGACATCATGAGATCAGGTGGATCATATCGATGAGGGTGTCACAAGATGTGAAGAGGGTTTTCAAACTCCACACTCACCCACACTTCTGATATCTTGCTCACAGTGAGACTGATACAAGCTGGGTGGGAAGACGCTAGTATGTTCTGGTTAGGGCATTGAGCAACGGACTGGACTGCATCTTCCCGCGCCGAGTTTTCTCAGCAGATTATCCTGTCCTCGCGCTCAGACAAACGCCACGCTCAACTGGTTGCATCGTAGAAGGTCCCTTCCACAGGTTGGGCTAACTCGGGGGTACCCATTGAGACATTGCAACGGTTCATCTGTGCGCCAGTACTCATGGTTGCATTGAGTGACACGTCACCGATCCCCCAGGGTTAGGATCCTGCTTCTTGAACTGGCGTAGTCCGATTAACTTTCGACATCTGAGTTTGTTCGTTTGATTCCACGAAATACTGCAAACATGTTTGCAAAATTCCTATGTACTACGTGTAAGGGTAGGTACGTACGTAGGTAGAGAAGAGAGGCTCTCGTATCACTTTGTCTGTAGCCATTGACCGGCTGTAATCATTTAAGAGTATTTCTGATCCAAGGTGCTCATCTCAATTTTACTGAGTAGCAGATTTGACCGGTCGCCAGTTTGACTTGAACCTATATTGCTTTAGACTTTGATTAAAGCTCAAAATGAACAAAAGGTTTGCCATCCTCGCGTGTTCGTCTCATGGCACTCCTCATAGGGACAGCAAGCGTAAAGCAAGGTGGAAACAATCCCGGGTGGGCCGGCAAACAATGAGTAAACCATCATCCCCAGACTTTCAAGGGCGGGGTGGTCTGGAGTCGTCGACAAGGCAGTCCCCTCCAATAGGGTTCGCCGTCTTAGAGTGCAGATGATCTTCACTTCCCGAGGCAGCTCATTTAATACGAGGAAAACTTAGTGCCCAAATGGGGAGCTAACATTATGAGAAGAAAGCCGCCCCAGACAAGAGAAAAGAGACGAAGAGAATGCCAAGTATCACGAGTACTTGGAGCGTTTGTCTGCCGGCTGGCGACATTAGAGACTTCTCTCGAAAGGATGAATTCTTCGGTTCAGCTCGTCATCACGGCTCCGACCTACCCGACGCAGTGTGTGCCATTCACGTCACAC